TTATATTTTTAGGCTCGTACTAGCATTTTTCTTGTCATAGTATATTACCATCACAGTACTGCCATATTTTTGTCGGCATCACTGGGCACAGTTGGGAAGAGGTACACAGATACAGGAGGCTCCTCACCATCCCAATATCTATTCAACCCTATAATGTTTATATTTTTAAAAATTTAGAATAATATTTTTGTATTTACTTCTTCCAGTAGATCGTTGAATGTTACAACTGCTACCAGTACTAGGATCTGAATGAGGACCATGTTGGGGTCTTTGCTGGAACCACTTATACTTGATGATGGTGGCTGATATATGGTATAGTCAGCAGGGCTGTCTGGTCCCACTGAGTGGTGGCGGTTCTTGGGCTGGTTTTCTGTGTAGTAGTGAGGGCTATTCCCTTGCCACTATCACTTATTACCTGCCTGACAGCATCATTGACCGTGTTTCTTAGGCTGTTGGCAGATTTTTCAGAATATACAATATAATATTTGACAATAATGTAAAATTATTACTTCAAGTCAGTTATACCATTTCTCTCCTTGCTATGCTTTCTAGGTGTGCTTGTAGGTTAACTCTCTTACCTTTGCTAATTTTAATGTTTTTATAATGCGTTTTGGTAGTGATTTAGCCATGATAAGAACAGTGCCAGTGCGGGAGCCATTTTGTTATTTTTAAATTTTATTCAATCTGGCCGCCATATTGTGCCCAGGGCACCTCCTTTTATACTGTGATCGACGGAAGCGATTTCATGACGTTGCGCGAATGGTTTTATAGTGCACCTTCTTGTTTAAGTATGTTGCTTTATTTCTTGATTTGAGCAGTTTTTATCTTTGTAATTTTTGTAGGTATCAAGCATTTGTTATTAATCAGAGATATATTGAAAGATACCAACTTTGATGAGACAAAATGGTATGACCTTGGACTATCACTCAATATTTTGCAGCCACAACTCAATTCAATAAAAGATGGCTACCCCAGAGACCCTCATCAGTGCCTCCTGGAGTGCTTGAGCTTGTGGCTCAAATTTGAGAATCCTCTCCCTCAGTTATTGGAAGTTGCTGTAAAAAGTATTGCAATTGTAGCTGCTGAAAAAATTCACAAAATATGTAATTTACAAAGATGCATTGTATTCCTACAATAATGCCTTTATTGTTATTTTTAGTGGTAAATCCTGCTAGTCAAATCTTATTGTGCCATCGTAGTAAATTTACTTGGGTTGCCTTACCTCCTAAATTGCTTATGTTGTTGCGTTCGGAGGGAGTGATATCAAAGAAGACCGAGTCTAAAATAAGACGGGGTGGAAATTTGCTTGTTGATGAGCCTTTCAGATCTATTTGTGTTACAGTAGCTGAAAATCAGAAAAAGTTGAGAGTACTGGCTGATGCCTTGCAAACATTTGATGGAACAGTTGCTATCGGCAGAGAAATACTTGAAGATTACAGCAAGTATTTTGATAATAATGTACACATGACAATTTTACTGATATTAGCTGTGAATCAATTCAAAGTAATGAATCAGATGTAACATCTACACAACCACAATTACAAGGTAGAATTTCTAAACTGGCTTTAATCTATAATTTTAATTTCAGAGAAGGAAGTTCGAGTTAGTAGAGCTGCACATGAATACAGTTTCGAAGCAATGAGTGGAAAATTCTGTGCATTTATAGACAAAATGAAGCCCATATTATCAACAAATACCAAATTAGAAGAATTGAAGCGATTCTTAGAGCAATACTGGCCAGAGCTAAAATCTCAATTACAACAGACCCAATCCTTTGATGAACTTTTCAAGATCATTGAAAAGAAATGCAATATCGTCAATGTAGCAGCAATTGAGACTATTGCTAATCGCTATGATCTAGAGGATGGCATTTCCCTTGCCTCACAGTATATAAAAGAAATAGAGAAGTTTTCTAAGGAAATCAAACTTGCATTTACTCTGAACAAAAAACTTTCATTAGCATCAAACAGTTCTCTTACTTGTGAAAAGATTCAATTTCTTCTTGACTGGGAGCCATCAGATCATTTATTGGAGGACATTCGTCGGTTGATGAAAAGAGCGTTTGACGATTTGGCTAATGAAGTTATTGTTCAAACTATTCAAAAAGCCAATTCGATCCTCATCATTTGCTATGCTCCACTGTACCTGATGAATGCTTTGTTCTTAGAGGCTCAAGCTAATCTTCCCACATTGCTGAAAGAGGTTGATTTAATTCAGTTAACTATTGGCCACTACACTCTATATGATAGAAATAAAGAGAGAGTAAGCATGAAATTTTAAAAGCTTATTAATCTAGCTATTATAATTTAGGAAATGAAGACTCTTGAGGAAAAACTTCAGTTTAGCATAAATGAAGGTATTTATATTTGCATGTATTCTAAAACTGTATAGCCAGTTTATTTTCATTGAAAATAATTGTTTTAATTCTTTACAAAATTTCTTTATAATAATTTAGGAAATATTTCACTTGTCAAAATGTACAAAGTTTTGGTTTGCACATACAAGTATAATGTAAAAATTTGTAGCAAATATTAAGTGTTTGACACAAAAATAAAAAACAAATTATTTTTTAATATGAAATATTCCAAAAATGTGAGCACAGTTCTGCCTAGAAGAAATAAGAGGTGGTCGAATACTATTACTGTACTGTCCCAACCATCATAGGGCAAATAGGCACAACCTTGAATGAGAGATTCAATTATCATGATTTTACTTGTATATAGAGTCATTGAGTATGGAAACTGAAGAGCAAATTGAATCATTGGAAATACCAGGTAGATTCTAATTCTTTTGTTTTATTAATAACTGTGTGTAGAATCTGATCTCAAGAATGAGTTACAAGCTAGAAAAAAGCAATTAAGTGCTGTTTTTATGGAAAATAAGCGCTTATTAGAATCTGAGTCAGGTATTAATCATTATTGTTGTTTACATTTATAAAATTTATAGCAGATAATTATAAACAGTTAAATTGGTTGACTAAATTTAATCATACTATACATGTACATGTGTCATGTATACATGTACATACATGTGCTTTTTATTAGGTCTAAAGAAGTCTTTAGCTGAGCATGAAGAGAAAATATTATCCCAAGCTGCAGAACTAATAGAGTTAAAGAGATGTAAGCTGATGTTAATTGTTTCATAAAGTTAATATAGTTTGTAGTGTTGGAGGAAAAAAGAAAAAAATGTTGAAGAAAGTGTTACAGCCCTCAGGTATACTGTTGATAATGAACCTATGATTTTCACCAGTTATTACACTAACAGATGACATTGATATTCATGATTTGCTAGTAAAAAGATGTCGTTTCCAGTTGGACAGGTGGTGTGATCTTGGTTCGAGACTAGGGCTAAGAAAAGGGACATTAGATGTCATTCGCTGGAATAATTCTACTGCATCTGAATGTCTGCTTGATTGCTTGTCTAAATGGCTACATAGAGCTGATGATGTTGATGAGAGAGGAGGAGCTACATGGGATTCATTGTCAGATGCTCGACGATCTTTGGGGTTTTTTGATGCAGCTACTGATTTAGATAGAGAAAGTCAGTTTTTATCAATAAGCTGTCACTTGTTGTAATTGACAAATGCTACCATTTGATGCTTAACTTTATAGTAAAAAAATTCAACTTAATTGCTGTGTTAGTGGAAAAGTCAATGCTTTTTAACAGAATGCACAAAAGTTTACAGCTTCACTATAATAATAAATTTAATAATCAGCCAATTGTTATACTTTTTTATTTACTGCAGAGCGTCCTTTTCTGGCTATTTTTGAGAACCAATGTAGATCTATGAATCTTTCTGAAGATTTTTCTGATATAGTGGCAGAACTTCAAGAAAAGCAAGTAATATCAAAAGATTTAGCATCAAGTATGCAGGAGTCAATGGATGGCTATGCTCGAAGTAATGCCCTGATTTCTGCTCTCGAAGAAGCTATTAAAGAGGATAGAAAAGCTCTTCAAATTTTTGCTTCTATTTTATATACGATTCCTCAATTTAAATATGAGGAAGACCGGATACTTAAAAATTATAACAATGAAGTGGTCAAAGAACTTTTAAGTGATGAGAAACATGGTGGGTTTAAGTTAATTAAAAGTGATCAAATGCTTTCTTGTCACATTTATAGATAGTGCAAGCAGCGGTGCAATCACACCTACAAGTAAGCCATTCTTTTAGTCTAGCAATTATGTGTAATAGATCTAGTTGAAATTCCAGTTGGAAAAAGTATCACTAAACAAACTGAATTAATAAGAAAATCTTATGCAAGAATGGTGTGTAAAGTTCAAGCTGCTACAGCGAAACAGAGTCCTGATGTTGGCATCTTAAAAACTCTTGTCAAAGTACGCAGGACTGATCTAGCATCGAAATTAACCAGATGTGGAACATACGATTCTATATTAAATCTGATTGAAGAAGAGTGCTGTTCATTAGTAGATATTGAAATGTTAGAGTTTGTAGTTGAGGAAATAGATATTGTAGAAGCTGTAGAAAGCATTGAACGCTATAAGGAATACCTAAATAAGTCTTGTGTCTTTATTTCTGATAGTCTTAATTTGAAGGAAACGTTTGCATCTGCAAAGACTGATTCTCTTCAATTTGAAGCAGCTACTTATGTATTCGACTGGCGGCCTAAAGGACAAACTTTTAAAGACATCTACAATGTTCTTATTAAGGTATCTGGTAAAGAAGTGGTTGTTAAGTATGTCTAAACCAGCTCTTTTAAAGCTTTTAAGTTAATTTTTAAAATTTGAATAATAATAATAATAATAATAATAATAATAATAATAATAATAATAATAATAATAATAATAATAATTGTGAC